CGAGCCGTACCCGACCCCCCCCCACACGAGACCCACCCCGCAACGTGGAGGGCGCAGGGAGGAGACGACTAGAAGGGAGAGGAGAGCGAGAGAGGAGAGCCCAGAAGGGAGAGGTGAGGGAGCCGAGGAGACTGGGCGAGGGAGGCGGGGAGCAGGGGGGAGAAGGAGAGAGGAGAGACTAGAAGGGAGAGGAGAGGGAGAGAGGAGAGACTAGAAGGGAGAGGAGAGGGAGCGAGGAGAGACTTGAAGGGAGAGGATAGGGAGCAAGGAGACTGGGCGAGGGAGGAGGGGAGTAGGGGGGAGAAGGAGAGAGGAGAGACTAGAAGGGAGAGGAGAGGGAGAGAGGAGAGACTAGAAGGGAGAGGAGAGGGAGAGAGGAGAGACTAGAAGGGAGAGGGAGAGAGGAGAGACTAGGAGGGATAGGGCAGAAATTTATCACGGTGTATTGCTTTCCTCTGCGCTTCCTACTCTGCTTTCTCTTGGATGTCTTTACCCTTCATAGACATTTGTCGTAGATTGGAACGAGACAGACATGATTTATTTTCATCCTATGTGTGACATCTAGGTATTCACTGATCCTTTCTTTGCAGAAGTTATTTTGGCAAATCAGACGGATGGAGATGGAGAATATAGTGAATCAGAGTCCCAGTGTTGCGACAGACTCTGAAAGAGTGGAGTGGAAATTTCCAATACTCGACAATCAAAACAAAGATAGCACAACCGAGGCTGTTCAGCCCAGTGAGGAAGTTGTGCAAACGGTGGTTGACGACAAGGAAGATGGAGCTGAAGGCGCAAGCGATGATTGTAAGGATGATATTTCACAGCAAGCAGATGGTCTTGCAGGCTCGGAGGAAGCAATTGCTGTGTGTAATGATCCAGAAATCATGCAGGTCCATGAGACAACACCCCAGGATCTGAAAAACTTCTGTGCAACTCAAGCTTGTGGACAACCCGAGGATCTAGTTCGGCTTTCAGAAGCAGCTCTGACGACCCTCAAGTCGTTGTGGAACGAGATCGGCTATACAGACTACGAGTGCGACAACGCGAAGGCTGAGATGTTTGCGGAGGTGAAGCGAGTCTTCGAGACGAAGCTGAGCAGCACGCAAGAGGTCAAGTGCAACCTGGTCAGTCAGGTGCGCCTTGTCGGAGCTCGGGTCTGCACGATCGAGCTGGAGGTAGGGGAGCCGTCGAAGATCGACGAGCTGAAAGCTCATGATACCCTACGAGCTTGCCTTACGGCACACAAAGGTGGGGGAGAGATGAGATGGTGAGAGATCGGTGAAGTGATATTGGCAGAGTACTTGGAAGTCTTGGAGGCCAAGAAGGCTGAACGAGCGGCGATCTTGTCGTCGAGGGTAATCCGAAGAGAGCGAGAGAATGATCCTGACTTGGGGACAGGCGGAGGAATTGAGTGCTTTGTACTATGACCTGGATGATACTCTTACCACAGAGCAAACAAAGTTCTTGAAGGTATGCAGATGCCGTCGATTTGTCGTGAGGTCTCCTGTCGCTGACCCCTGGGGCCTTCAGGTTCTGTCGGACTTCACTCTCAACCGCATCGAGCAGTTTGAGTCGAGGATCCAGGAGATGAAGAAGGAGAAGGCAAGGCTGTCAAGCGTGCCTTGCTCGCGATGATGTTGTTGAGCAGCAAAACCGATCCCAGAAGAGAGAGACATTGATCAAAGAGATCCAGGTTGAGCGATGCTTCTTGCTGTGCTGCCCTTGATTGATACATCAGGCCCTGTGGTGCGAACTTGGCATGTACACTCAGTCGGTGACGACAGACTCTACCTTGTCCGTTGGAGAAAGTGATGGAGACGTGCAGGAGGAGGGAGTTTGCGAGGTTGACAAGAAGCTGCTGGCGGTGGAGGAAATCAAACTGACGCTGGAAAACCTCAACACCCTTCAGGTGAGGAAGAGTTTGTTTGCCCGACGTCGCCGTGATGGCTGCTGCAGGTGCGACTGGAGGAGCTAGAGAAGGAGAAGAGCGGGAGGAAGGAGAAGCACAGGGAGCTGATGGAGACTCTGCACGCCTTGTGGGGGAGGACAAGGGCGGAGGAGGCGGAGGTGGAAGAGTTCAAGAAGCAGCACGAGGGCATCACGCGCGCGATCCTGAGCAGCATGGAGAGCGAGATCGGAAGGCTGGAGGAGGTGAAGCGTGCGATGATGAAGGAGCTGATCCAGGAAGTGAGAGAGTCGATCCGCCAAGTGTGGGACGAGATGAGGTTGACCGAGGACGAGAGGAAGTCCTTCGCTCCTGCCCAGCAGGAGGTCTTCACCGAGCAGGCGCTCTTTGTTCACGAGGAGTACCTCGCTCAGTCCCGCGACCGGCTCGCCGCCATGCAGCCGATCATCAAGCTGGTGGACCGTAAGGCCTTCATCCATCAAGAGGACGAGGCCATGAAGGAGGCCCTCGCCGACCCCAACCGCCTGCTGGGTCGCGGACGAGGGATGGCTGAGCAGCTGAAGAAGGAGGAGAAGGTGCGCAACATGGTCAACAAGGAGCTGCCGAAGCTGCGGGAGAAGCTGAAAGCTGCGATCGTGGAGTTCGAGGAGGCGTACGAGATTAAGTTCCAGCTCAACGGCGTGAGGACGCTGGAGGAGCTGGAGGAGGAGGAGAAGACCATCAGCAAGGCAAAGGAGGAGGCGAGAGCGAAGAAGGGAGGGAAGGCCGCGGTCCCGCAAACCTCCGCGACCCCTCGAGGACCTTCGAGGGCAGCTGGGGATGGGACTCCTGCTGAGAAGTCAGCTCCGCACTCGGCGATCTCCAAGCTCCGGTCGGCCGTGAGCTCAGGTGGGATGGAGAGGGAGCTAACTGAGAGGGAGGAGGACAGAGTGGGAAGGCTATGGAGGGGAAGTGGAGGGCATGTCCGTGGAGTTGGTGGAGGGGAGGCAGGGAGGAGCAAGGGATGACTGACGGATGGCAGTTGTCAAGGCTGCGAACAAGGAGAACGAGAGCAAGCAGGTGCCTGCTGAAGGGCAAGAGAGCAAGAAGAATGCTGAGCCAGCGTCCTGTATCGGCAAGCTGGACTTCTCCAAGATCGATCAAGCCAGTGGTGAGCTGAAGCCTATCTCCCTCCTCCTCCTACTCCTCCTCCTCCTACTACTACTACTCGTACTCTTCCTCTTCTTCCTCCTCCTCCTCCTCCTACTCGTGCTCGTGCTCCTCCTCCTGCTGCTCCTGCTCCTCCTGCTCCTCCTCCTCCTGCTACTTTATTCCATCTTCCCATCTCTACTTTTTCCCCTCCGTAACTCCTCGTTCTCCACCTCCTCATCTTCAGCATCTCTGTCCACTACGTCATCGTCCTCTACACCCTCGTCCTCTACCTCATTTTCTTCTTCTTCCTATCCTTGCACTTTCTCCTCCTCTCTCCTCCCTCCTCCTCCTCCTCCTCCTCCTCCTCCTCCTCCTCCTCCACCACCACCACCACCACCACCACCACCACCTTTGTCGCGAGTCTCTCCACACGTACATCACCGGCTCTTTCAGGGATTGCCGATATCAACGGATATCAAATTCAAAGCCGATGTCAAAGTCAGTGGCATGACTCGGTCGGTTCCTGGCAATAGACGGCTATGTATCCCTGCTCCTACATGAAAGACTATCCGAGAGCCGTCGAACTGTCGCAGGAGCAGTGCGAGTGCAGCAGCCTCGTATGGCAGAGTAGAAGTAGTTGAGAGCAATGCCATGATGGTCCATCCTGGCAGTGTCAACCGTAGAATTTACTCGAGGAGAAGGGTCAAACCGTTGAACAGCAGCTAGCCAGACAGCTAGCAGCCTTGACAACAACGGACCCCCTTGCACCCCCGTCAGATCCGATGATCCCTCACCAATCGGGGGTGGGGTGGTACTTCTTGTCAACTTCAGCACCCGTCAGTGATGAACTTGTTTATAGACCCTACCCCACCCTCTGGGCCGACATGCACCCCACCCCTGTAATTGACTGCTCCAATTTGATTGATCAAGGGGTGGTGATGGCAGTGACCCCTCTAATCCTCGAAGGGTAGGACGCTTTGAGGGCTACCTCTTGGCAGGGTGGGTGGAGAATAGGGGAATGTACGGGTGGGGGAATATCGGGGGGTTTCGCTTTTTATTTGGCACGGGCAGGAGGAGCGGAGGGTACGAACGCCATGTCTGCGAGACTAGCTGCTTCCTTGGCTGTGATGTGCTGCCTGCTTGCTACGGTGGCAGAGGCACAGCCATCTGTCTTCTACGAGTACCTCTCCTACTCGTCCTCTGACACTACCTGCACTGGGTCTTCTAAGAAGTTGGCCGTGGATGATGTCTACCTTGCCAAGAATTCCTTGGAGTCCACTGCTAAGACCGGCAACTGTTATCCCACGATCAGCAGCGGGACCACATACTATGTCAAGATGACTTGCAACACGACCAGCGGCGTGTTCAACTTCGAGAGCTACACCGCCTCAGGCTGCACCGGAGCCCCGACTTCTACTGTTTCCAAGGTTGCAGCCAGTGCTCCTTGCGAGAAGGGTACTGGTGGCGACTACGTCAAGTATCAGGGGTGCGCCATGACAGAGGCAGATGTCACTAAAGCCGGCTACACCTACAGCGCTGCTCCCAGGACCCTCACCAGCTGGAGCCTGACGTCCTTGATTTGTGTGGCGCTATGTGCTTGGCGAGCATTTCTCCATTGATTGCGTGTGACGTAGCATGTGTGATAGTCCGACTGATAGATCTCTGAGCATGGTATGGTATGTTTGTGAATAAAGCCGGTACTGGTGGCCGTTTTCCTGTGGAAGCCTGGCTCAAGGCAGAGGAGGAGCTCGAGGCTGGTTCTGTCAACGGCGGCGAGGGATGTCTAGGTAGGGTATCTAGCCCCTTGACCCAGAGCTTCTAAAGTCGCCTGGTCGAATCAAAGCCTATCGCGTGCTAGAAGAGGAGTGGCAAACCCCGCGCTTCGATGCTACGCGTGGGTATTGCAGCTTCATGATGGTTTGCAGCCTCAGTCCACTCGGAGCCGCGATGCCGTGATGACGAACTTTCCGGCGTCTCAGTCACAGTATTGCTTTCTTTCTGAATGGGGATTTCGATGATCGGAAGTTCGCTATGCATTTTCCAGCCTGGGCTTGGTTTATCTTTGATCATCATGGCAAGCTTCTTACACAACATGCCATACTATAGTGATCATCGGCTAATATGCCAAGCACTCAGCGGCCTTCCGATCCGAGTCACAAATGCCGCTGAGCTAGGTATTCATACAGTTTTACGCGATCACTGATGAGATGGCCTGGACACTGAAGCCTGGCCCCGGGGGCCGCAGCCCCCGCGCCGCCGCGTGGCCCGCCCCCGGCCTCGGGGCTGTGCCGGACCGTCACGCCGCATTGCGGCGCGGCCCGGCCGGCCCGGTCAGGGCACTTCTGGTCTTCCATCTTTCGCGGTCCATGACTCGCACCCTTCAAACCAAGAGACACCACCCCTCCCACTACCCTCCTTCTAACACCCCTACCCCTTTCTACAGATTCTACAATCCTTGTTACCGTATAATTTCACCTAAAATGGAGGGGTACTCTATCAAACACCCCCCCTACATGTCTCATGGTATACCCCTCAGTCGTGGAGTACTTGTCAATATGACTAGGGCACAGCATGGCTGAATCGCCGCGCGCCCAATATATACCGCTGCCGCTAACCCTCGTGACCCTCCTGCTCCTCCTGGGCTCATTCGTTGTTAGTTTCCTTTCCCTTTCCCTTTCCCTCTCCGCCTCCTCTTCTCTCGCCTTCGCATGCTCATTCCTTTGGTCCTTTTCCTCCTTCTCCCGCATATCTTTGTTGCCTTCATGATTCCTTATTTCCTATGTTTGCGAACATGTGTTCGCAAGGAAGTCGTGATCGTGAATCTCTGTTGTTGTTGATCTCATGAGCGTAAAATGTGCAAGCCTCAGAATTCATACCTTGATGTATTAATCCCACAGAATACTGAATTTTGTTTAGGTCTGCCTTTAGTGGAGATGAATTTCCAACCCGTGTTCGACGATCTGTCTTGAGAACCTGAAGTCCAAAACAACCAGATCAATGAAGATTTCATATCTTCGATCCCGTTGCCTGGCGAGGATCGCGAATGCTCTTGCTCTTTTACTTTTACCTGTCACCCTTAGCATTGATATCACGGACAACACATATTATGCCATTTCCCCAAGAGAAGTGGATGCCAACGTCGATGTTTCAGTTTTGATTTCCGGGAATAATTTCCTCAGTGGTTTGGATTATGAATGTTGGTTTGGGATGGAGACACATGTTACCGCATCATATGAAAGCGACAGTTTGCTGAGATGTGGAACATTTGCGTGGGATAAGGCGTCTACTCTAGTGCAAGTTGTTGTCAAACACGGGGGATCTGACTTGAGTTTTGTCGGTGATGCCATAAATCAAACTATCCACTTTCTAGGTACATTGCTTTTGACCTCTCAATTCCTAAATCTCGTGCACAGATGGTTGGACGAGTGCGAATGAAACATACCTGCTGTCAACTTCGCCGTATGCAGTCCGTGTCGATGGATTCGGTTTCAATGAGAATTTCTCATATACTTGCCGGTACTCCCTTTTAGTTACATCTCTTTACTCTTCTGAAACTCTTGTGCCTTGGTAGATATTCGCCACTTGATGGAAATTCGCCGTTTGATACTCAAGCTCTCGTGGTCGGATTCTTCACCGTGCTTTGTCCAGCTCCGTATTGGAACCGTACAGAGAGCATGGCAACTTTTACCCTGCTCAGGGGGGAGAATTTCTCGGTTGTCACGAATCGTGGGGAGGAGCATCCTATTTATTTCACGGGTGAAGTATTGATAGTTCCTCCTCTTCTTTGACCAGTTCACACAGGCTCATGGAGAAGCCTTTCTCCCAGCACCGGCTCGTCTTTGGGGAATATGCTGATCACGATCAGCGGTGGTGGATTTTACTTCAGCTCTGCCAATCCAGATGAAATCCTTTTCAGTTGCTCTTTTACCTGTGGCAATTTTACCAGAAACTCGCCCATCAAACTTGCTGCAGTCTCCCCAGCCGTCGTCCTATGTAGAGTACCGACATGGCGATATCATGCATGCCTTGCTAGCGTCCAGCTCTTCCGGCAGGGCTTCCCTTTATCGAGCACGCACTCAAACTCATTTCTCTATTACTCCATTGTGCAAAAGATCTACAGCGCCGTCTTCCCCAACGGAGGCAGTTACACGCTGACAGTCAGAGGTGGCGGCTTTGATAATCACAAGCAGTACAGCTGTTCTCTCTCAGACTCTAACGGCGTCTCCGTCAACTCCTCAATCTTCCAATACATTGCTGACAACGAGCTTCACTTTTTTGCTCCTCAATGGCCGATGTCAGTCCAGTCAAGCAATATTGACGTTAAGGTGCTAGAAGAGGGTTCGTTGCTGAGACAGACTGATGGCATGGAGAACTATGACGTCTACTACGAGGCAGGTGGTGTGTCGTCTATATCGCCAGTGGAGGGCCTGGCGGAGGGAGGGCTTTCAATCAACGTGACTGGGATCGGATTCAGTACCATCTCACCTTACTTGCTGGAATTCAGACAAGCAGCGATGAACGAGAGTGTGCTATCAGTCAAAGGACCTTGTCAAGTTTGGTCGAGCACGAGCATGACGTGTTTGATCCCCAAATCTTTCTTCTCCTCCGATTCTTCAGCGAACGTTTCTCTCTTCCAAGAGACAGGAACATCCCGCCTTGTGCCTGCAGTCTCCAACTCGCAGCTGAGCTTCACGTTTGTACAGTTTTGGCGCGGAATTTCACCAAGTGTCGTGCTGGTCAATTCGTCAAATGCCATATACGTGAATGGATATGGGTTTTCTTCCAATCAAGCTTACACATGTCAATGGAACCGGATAGGTTCTCAGGATACTTGCAACTCTACTTGCTCTTGCCAATCAAGCGCATACTTCTCGTCTCAGGCATCTTTCATTAACAGCACTAGCCTCGCATGTGATGCTCCCAATATTGACCGTCACTCATACTTCTGCCTCAGTGTTTGCGTTACAAACAGCTTGGTTTCCAACTCCTGTCTTCTCTTGGAAGCCACTTCAGATCATTCTCTCTTGTCTATCATCCCGCAATGGACCAACACTCAAGTCCGCGATGAGAATGAATGTGTCTTGTCAATATCCCGACAAGGCTCAATCGTCTCCGTCCAAGGCCTCGGGTTCGTCGAGACCAGCAACTATTCCTGTCATTTCTCGAACTCACAAATCTCAATCTTCCTGCCAGCAGCTTTTCAGAGCGACCAGCGGCTGACTTGTACATCTCCAGCCTTACAGGCTGCATCGCAACAGCTCAACCTACGTCTGTACATCGACGTTGACGGTGTGAATATTCCTTCCCTTCAGGAGGGAATCGGTCAATTGCATGTATCAAACTCAACGTGGGTAGTAGAAGATCAGGTCTTCTCCGCCGCTTCTGACTCTTTCATCGTCCGAGGATTCAATTTCTGCGCTTCCCAGGCTTCATCCCCCAGCCTACCGTGCCACTACCGGTGTGACTTCACTCTGACAGACTCTGGACGCTGCGGCTCGATGTTGGGCTGCTTCGAGAGCTGCAGCTGTAAGTACGTCAACGACACTTCCCTCGCTTGCTCCTTCACCAGGTGGTCCTGCAACTTTCCCTCTGCCAAATTGCTCCTGCTGGAGTCGTCAGGGAGTGACTGGAAGCCTGTCGGTTCCCCCCCGTCAACGGCCGCAGGCATCGTCAACTTTGTGCAGTACTTGGAGAGTCTCTCGCCTTCAGAAGGAGTGGCAGATCAGTCGACGGACGTGACCGTCTACGGCTTCGGTTTCTACGATGCTGACACGGTCACTTGTAGATATTCAAACGGCTTCTCCTCGTCGGGCGTCTACCAGAGCAACCGCAGCGTCGTCTGTCAGGTTCCAGCTATTACCCCCGACTACCGCATGCCAAGCCGGTTCAAAGTTGACATCGAGCTGAACAACGTTACGAGCGTAGGAATGGACCTGAGGTTCAGCTACATCCCCCTCTTCGTCCGACTTGCCGACTACTTCAACGCTTCCTCCAGTGTTCACACCAGGACCGTCTGCTCGAACTTGAACCTCACTCTCGTGGTGCTTGCATGGGACCCTTCCTTGACTTACATTGCCAAGTTCGTGGGTTTGTCGGGAAGGAATGTCACCGTTCAGCTGAGAAACAGCTCGACCCCTCCATACTACCACCTTGTCCTACCGAGCTGGCCCTACGAAGCAGAGGAGGCGATAGTCAAAACATTTTCGCTTCAAGGAGGGAAGGAGACCGAGATTGAAAACGTAGGTGGCAACGAATACCTCTTTGACATGCAGCCGCTCCTTGTCAGCTACGCCGTCTCCTGGCCTCCCTTCTGTTCCCCTCGCTGCCCTTCAACGGTCTTCAACGTGCAGGGCTGCGGCATCAGGGGAGACCTGCCGCTGACTTGCAAGATATCCGGAGGCAATAGTAAGTACGAGACAGCAGGGGAGTTCAAGAACCTGAGCGCTGTTAAGTGCACGTTCGATCAAAGTTTGCTGATCGGCTACAGAGCGGATGTGCAGTACCGACTTGACCTGTACAGCTCTATGGGTACTTTAGGGTGGGTCAACTCGGACAGCAGCCATGTCATGTTGAGCGAGTTCTGGACGGCGATCGCGTGCGAGCAGGAGACGGATGGGGTCTGCTCTATGTACACGTCAGGTGGGCAGCTGCTGATCTTGCAAGGGTACGGGTTCGGCAACGTTTCGTATAGGCTCAACCTCTCAAGCTCCACCTTCTCGCTTCTTACTGACCCTGCGATCGTTCTCGACTCCCGTCGGCTCTCCTTCACTATCCCGACCTGGCCAAGGGAGGCGAGCGAGGTTTCCCTCACGCTCTGCAAGGACAGCGACACTGCCGCGTGCTCGCACACTGTCGCCTTCTCCTCGTTCTTGAAGCCCAACATGAAGTACCTGGCGGTTTGGTGGTTCGAAGTCCAGCCGTCCATTTCAAGCTTGTTGGACTCTCAGTTGCGCTTCTATGGCAGGGGGCTCAACCCGCAACGGTCGTACCAGTTTCAGTTTGCCTGCAATAGGGGAGGGACGACCAGTCAGGTGGTGATCGACACCATCTCAAACCTTGCCTACGACAGTTTCACCGCTTCATTGCCAGCCCTCTCATGCACAGAGAACACAGTCAAAGTTACGTTGTCCGAGGCTGTCAAGGGTTCAGCCACTTGGTCTGTGGTGCTGGTTGATCCAGGATCCTCCCTGGCCCACCCTGATGCGATTGTTAGCTCCTCCATCCACTTCACTTCCCTTGTCTTGTCCATCAAGACCGTTGCCAACAACTACCTCCAGACTTTTGATCTCTGCTACTCTCAACAGTCTGGCTCTATCTGGGTCCAATCCAACTCCTCAACCATAGCGCTGACTTTTGTCGGCAAGGACACGTCAGGAGCCTTTGACTACTTCTGCTGTTTCCGTCTCAGCACAGGGCAGACAGTCACGTCAAGACTAGAGGGGGACGTTTGCACCACTCCTTCCATAACTGGCTCACAGGCTGTTCTTACTGTACAGTCAAGGCTGGTGGCGCAGCCGACGCAGATAACCTTTGTGGACTTTGGATGCAAGGTTGGATCTCGTTACAACGTAACGGGGACCGAGCTGAACGTCTCGACTCTCCCCTCTGTCAGTCGCGCCTCCCCTCGCAGTATTGAGAGCTACCAGTCTCCTGTGACGGTCTTCGGCTCTGGTTTCGACCCCTCGGTCTCCTACCTTTGCCACTTCTTCGTCACTGACCCCAGCTACGTCTGGCTTGGACTTCCTTGCGCTCCATCGCCGTCAACCAACATCTCGGAGACTTCCATGTTGTGCACACTCCAAGAATGGTTGTATCCTGCCAGTGACGCCAACTTGGGCGTCTCCTACGCACAGACGCTAACGCTGCAGGATCAGATCTCAAGCAGCGACACTCGCGTGTGCTTCGTACAGCTGATTCAGCCGCAAGTCCTCAAGCCCGGAGTTTTCCTGCGCGTAGAGAACGAGATGATGATGATGCAGCGGGTTGATGGAAATTGCACCATCGTAATGAGAGGAGTAGCCGGGACTGCAAGTCTGCCTCACCCCTCAGACCTTGTCGTTTATGTCATGCTCCCTGTTCAGTCCGGTCTGTTTCCGATTGTCTCCATCCAGGCTTGGTACAACCTGAGCGCAACTCAGGCGCCTCTGCATGGAAACACCTTGTTGGTGATGTCGACCGCGGGTTTGAACCTGACAGTTCCTCCTCAAACCAAACAACTTGACATAGCTGGGACCACAGACGTCATTGCTGTCTCAGGTGCGAACTTGTACTGGGGGATTATGTTCGACATTGATGCGAAGAAATCTATCAACGTGTCCAGTTTCACTCTTGCCTCGAGCGCAGATTCGCATTTCAGGCTTTTCATGAAGAGCTGCGGCGTTGCTGATACAAACTGCGGGTTCAAAAACAACGAATTCAACTCCGACGTTTGGACTGAGTTGGATATCAATATCACTGCCGATGGAAGCAATGTGAAGATAGAGATGGTGGTCCCGCTGTACCTGCAAGGAGGGAAGAAGTACGGGATCGTAATCTACAGCGACGCGTCTCTTACTTACGGGGTTTCAAGTGTTGAGCTGACTGAGTTTGACGACTTCGTTGCTATACTCCCTGGCGTTCTTTCCCAGATGAAGACGACAGGCTCAGCTGTTCAGTTCTCCAATGTTATCGGAGATTCCAGCACTCCCAAGAAGTTCATCGGCAGAATTTCTTACGTCAGTCATGCCATCGACGGCTACTCATATTCCTGTCACTTCCAATCCTCCTCCCGACTGTACTCTTCGACTACGGCGCTGCTAACGGAAGATGCTATCTCCCTCTACCCCCTCACCCGCCCTACCCGCACCTTCTACTGTATCGTACCACCCTGGCACTACGGCGAAGAGATACTGCACTTTGCACTGCAAGGGATTGATGTCAACGGCAAGAATTCCTCCACCTTCACGACCGACTTCTACATGTTCTCATACCTCGCTGATATCGTCGCGCACTCAGAAGGCAGTGCGGTAGGAGGCGATCGGATCAACCTGACCCTGAGCTTTGGAGTCAACGTGGCTGACTGGGTCGACCATCGGTATGAGTGCTACTACTGGCAGGATTCCTTCCATCAGAACACGAGCATCGAGTACGTGAGCGACACTGAAGCTTACTGTATCACTCCTTTGTGGGAGGGCTACAGCGGTCTGCTACAGATCATGGTGGCGCGACTAGATATGTTCTCGACCTATCCTTACGTCAAGGTGATCGAAAGACAGCTCAAGACCTTCGACCGGATGCAGGATACAACCAACTGCTCTGATATCCTCTGCTCTTCTTGCTTCGGTTACGGTTGCTTCTACTACGAGCTCAACGACACGCGCCCGGACTACATCGACTACAGTGTCTACGAGACCATACAGAGTCCAATATACCCAACGACCTCCACGGCTGCGGGAGACACGATCTTCACTATCAGTGGGGCCGGGTTCAACCCATCCTTGACGTACGTCTTTGCGTTTGTCAGGGGAGACGAGATGGTTATGGTGGACGGAACGGTGGAGAGCAGGCAACTGATAGTGTCTAACTACACGGTAGCATGGGGAGAGTTCTTTGTTGGAAACTACAACCTGACTGACGTCAGCACGTTCATCGACGCATCCTTGTACAAGTTAGCAGCATCTTCTACCGTCTCACTTGTCTCTGGTACCGCGGGTTGCGTCGAGTTCACAAGCGGCATGGAAGTGGTGCTGAGCTCCGATCTGTTGGGTCAGGCTGGTTACATAGCTATCGGCAGTCAGTACTTCACGTTTGAGTTCGGAGCTGATCAGAAGACAATCAACTTACTGGCAAGAAGCAAAAGGTGAGAGAATTTGAGAAGTTTTGCTGGTTCCCATGCGGTTGTTTGACTTCATTCCTTTGCAGGTTCCCATCGCAATCGAATCTCGTCTGTGGGAACGAGACGGTGTCAACCTTCACCAAGGTGCGATACATCGACGAAACTCCCTCTTGGCCCGTTGCCTTCCAGACGTGCTGGAGCTCGCTGAACAAGACAGACTCGTTTGCGAATGGAGGAGAAGTCGTTCAAGTCTCTGGCTTTGGTTTTCCGTCCTCCCAGCCGCTCACTTTGCAATTTTCCACTGGCGACAACTTGACAACTTCAAGCTCTATTGCTGTCAGTCTGCGAGCCTTGACGTTTCTGTCCACGGAGTATGACTTCAAGCTGTCAAACGTCACGTTGCTGGTGTCAGAAACCCTTCAAATCTCCCCTTGCTCGAGCTCGCAGTCTCAATCTTTCTTGTACAAGCCTGTCTGGTTGGAGATCGATCGGTACTCGCTTCCGTCCAAAGGCGGTTACCTTGTCATCAATGGATTTCTGTTCTCTGCCGACATGCTGATCACCGTCACAGTCAGGAACGCGAGTAAGGACGCGACGTTCGAGATCGTCGCGTTGCGGCAAATCCGATGTTTGGTCCCTTTCTTCACTCCAGGCATTGCGCAGATCGTCATCGAAGTGGAAGGAGTGGAGTTTTTGAACCTCAACAACCATCAAGTCAACTTGTTTGCTGGCTGGGATAACATCAGTTTGACAACGGACTTTGCCTCTGCCGCAGGCAACGAGGTGTTCCTGATCTACGGCTATGGTTTTCAAAGTTTCTCTTCCTGCAGGTGTCGATTCGGTGTTGAGAACCACATGTACGCAGATGTTACCATCAAGAGCGACACCATACTGGAAGGGTTGACACCTGAATGGGGCAAAGATTATGCTGAGGAGCTTGTACAAGTCTCATTGATCTGTGACGACCAGGTCCTCGCCTTCACAAGCATGGAATCTTACAATGTCACTTGTACCCTTGAGAACCCTTACTGCACTGTCAAGTTCACAGCCGTTCACTTCGTAGTCGAAGTCATCAGTCGGCACGCCTATGGAGGGCAGAGCTACAGCATCAATGGGAGCGGGTTCGACCCGACGGCGCCGTACAAGTGCATCTTCTACATCAACGGCGAGGCCATCGAGGGTGCAGAGCAGCAGCCGAGCTCGACTACGTCGATCGTCTTCCAGACTCCTGACTTCTCCCAGCGTCAGCAGGAGTCCAACTTTGGGTACTTGATCCTCTACCGTATGCCCAACTCCACCGTTGTCTACTCGGCACAGAACCAAACCTTCGAGATTCTCCCTGCCTGGGTGCGGGTGACGCCGAATCGAGTCTTATGTAGCGGGCAAACGATCGAAATCTACGGGTCAAGCTTCACAGAGTCTGCTAACACTTACCATTGTAAATTCAGTGACGGGACAAACGTAAAAATCACCGATGTTGAATTTGTCAATAGCTCACTCTTGCGATGTACACCAGTCTGGTACTACCCAGCGAATATCACGAATCTGAACATCATCACCAATGATTCTGTTGTCATTGATTTCTTTGATCTTTTTGGAACCGGGCAAACTGTCGAATTTCTGGAGGTTATCTCAGATTACCAAGTTACGCTCCCTTGCCAGAGGGGCAACAAGTCTTTCGTTGTGCAGATCGCAGGGTATGGTTTCAAACCAGTCAACCAGTATCGTTGTGTCTTCTATACAGACAGTACCAGTCAGTCCCTCACCGACATTCTGGATCCTGCCACGACATCGACACAAGTAACCTGGAACAGCCAATCCTCGATCACGTGTACAGTACAGTTCGTGACCATCTTATCGGAGAAAACCATGGACGGGAAATGTTTCAGCTTGAATCTATCGGACCCAGTACGAGCTATAGGATTGTTGGACAACCCCGGAGGATCCAAATGTGTCAATTTCTCCTCGTACTGGAGCTTCTTGTCGCCCAACTATGATACTCAAATTGTTCAAGTGTCAGGAGCAGGATTCACCGACGGGTTGCAGTATTATTGCAAGTTTCCTGAGGTCGGGATAATGAAGGATGCGACGGTAGTGAGTCCATCGAGATTAGTATGTGCCTTGCCTGCATCTGTCAATGAGAACTCTACCTCCCTCTCTGTGCAAGTTTTGCTCCAGGATCGCATCATCTGCTGCAGCGCAGGAACCGACTGCTTCCTGACCCTCGAGCCGTACTGGAGGACGTACGAGCCGATGTCACCTCGCTTCCCTGCAAAGGGAGGAGCGGTGATAACTGTTACAGGAGAGCTCTTCACCTACACCTCAAAGCTCTACTGCTTGTACGAGGGAACGTCGGGAACCAAGAAAAACAATGAAGCGCTGAACCAAACCAGGGGAGCGTGGGCTTGCAAGCTGCCTGACTGGCCGAAGGCTGAGAATGTGACCTTGCAGTTCAGGATCGGGTCGGATCCTGGTATACTCCTGAGCGGGGCGACGATACAGTTTGAGTTCTATGAGATGTGGGAGAAAATTTCCTTCTCGTCAACCTCGGACTTGTCAAACGTTCCCTCCTGCGGCTCTGGGTCTCAGCTCAAGGTTCATGGGTACGCCTTCAATTGGACGCGGAGCTACAACTGCTCGTTACAGGTGGGACAAGAGACAAACGTGTCGTTGCCGGGAGTTGTGGTGAGCGACAAAGAGATCATCTGCGACGTTTCAAGTTGGGGCACCTCAAGACCTGCGTACCTGGGAGTTCCGATCTCAGTCCGTCTGCTGTCAGGGGATACAGTTATTCCTCTGGAGCTCGCCGGTGCGGACGAGTTTCAGTTTGCTGAAGTCTTCTCCAGCCTCTACCCGACCAACGTGTCGGCGCTTCGGATCTCACAGTTGGGATTGTTCGGTTGCGGGTTCGATGGGAGCGACGTCTACGGCGTTCAGTTCCTCGGAGAGAACAACACGACCGTCTCCTTAAACGAGTTTGCTGTCAGCTTTCAGAGCTACTCTGACCTTGTCGTGGATGTGACTTCCTGGCATTACCCTGCCGGGACCTTCCGGGTTCAACTTGAAAATCTCAACAACTCGGCGTTGGCTCAGGGCTCTGCCCTGTTCACAGTTATCCAGGGATGGAGATGTATCTCCCCGACTATCGCTGAAGCAGCGAGTCCAACACTGACGGTGGTCGGTGCTGGGTTTGTGACGGGAGGGAGTTACGTTCTTTCGTTGTCGTCAGCCAATAACACCTTCAGCGCGCGAGCCTCGCTTGTCAACTACAGCACTCTTATCTTCCAGTTCAATGAGACGCAGGGGCTCGTAGCGAAGAATTACTCTGTCTCCGTCCTCTACAACGGATCGCAGGTTTACAGCATTCTTGACCAGACATGCTCCGACGTCGTAACGGTCGTTGAGACCTGGAGGCAACTTAACTCTACCGTGGGATTCGCCAACGGAGGGGAGACGTTGCAAGTAGAAGCATACGGTTTGAACCCTGAGTATTTTTATCAATGTACATTCACCGCAGTCAACACCTCCTCAAGCTGGACTGTCGATGCTGCGTCAGCAACAGTGCCGAATCGTCTGCTTTGCGTCACTCCACCATGGGGGACCATGTACCCAGCTGCGCTCACGGTCAATCATTCTGAGTTTGTCTTGCAAGTTTCCCTCCAGAGTCAGTCGCAAGATGTCAGGTTCAGAGGTGTGGAGAGCGGTCGAGCGTTTTTGTTCATTCAGATGTGGAGCTCGGGCAATGTTTATCCCTGTATAGGAGCTTTCAACAACCCCAACATCACTCTTAGTGGGTTTGGTTTCGATCCCATGCTCGTGTACAATTGCTCGTTTCTTTCACCTGAGGATCAGGTGGTTTCATACGGCCGTGTAGATTATGTCAATCACACAACCATGGTGTGTTACAGCATCGGTAAGTTTGAACGTGAGGCGAAATTGACCATGAGACTTCAGCTGTCTTCCGGCGATATCAACCTTCCAGACTTTGAGCCAATCAATCTTTATCTGATCGAAAAGTTCCTGGGAATCAACCCTAACAGAGCCCCTGGTACAGGAAACATTACCATCACAATCTCTGGAGTGGGATTCATTGCTTCAGTTCCGGACGTTTATCTTGTTGTTGTGCGACAGAATGAGCTGCCAGTACAAGTAAAGAGTCAAGAGACCATGGAATTTATCATCCCACCACAAGACGGCCTCATCAACTTGGTAGATGTAGTTGTCAGAACAAGTTTCTTGAATTGCCCAGCAATCACTTCCAACGAGATAGCAAGGTTTCAAAACTTTGGTTACAATGCCATCATCGAAGATTTTACACCCAAGTCCGTCGATCTCCTCAACAAGTACGTCCTTCAGCCTGTCCTGGAGGTATCTGGCGCTGGGTTTGAATACACCAAGACATACAACGTCGATTATACTTTGAATGAGAACTTCCCCAATTTCTCCCTCCCTTGCGCTTTCTCGAGCACAAAGCTGCTGATTTGTGAGGTGCCAGTATTGAATATCTCCCTGATTCAGTGGTCAGCAGGGTACGAGGTCCAGGCTCAGGTCTCTATCTTTGCTGTAAATGGCAACAGGGCACAAGTTCCCAAGTCATCAAGCTTCCAAGCCGCTGACGTCCTGAAGTACGTCCAGATAAACTCTCCTCCGTTCTTCCGAGGAAAGTCGGTCTTCTCGACTGGACAGGAAAGGATTGCAGGATGGGCTACATACATTCACGCGGGTTACTACAACGGAGAGGCGATAGCGTATGAAAACAGTCAGAATATCACATTCCGTGTCTACCTCTCCGGCACGAACTTAGCTGAATCCAGCATCTTCACGAAATTTCCTTCCGTGGACCCACAAGGAAATCTTGAATTCGACGCTGCCATCCCAGGAGCCGTGGAAATCGACGTCACTTTGCAAGACAGCGGAGGGACCGAATACGGAGGTTACGACAAGTTCACGCAGACATTTATGATTGTCATCGAAGCAACGAAGCAACTTCCCATCTCTGTTTCTTCGTTTGATGTTGTCGAGAGCAACTTTGAGAAGGAATATGTGGTGCCGAAGTTTTATTCCAACCTCGACTCCTCGAGTGTTTTTGACTTCATGTCGCAAGTTTCTTTCATCATCAACGTTAGCGCTCCTTTCGAGTACGCCCTTGAAGATTACTTCTCTCATGTACCAACAATCGACAGCTACGGCAACCTGCTGTTCAATGTCAGACCCTATGTCTTTGGAAATTTATCATTGACATTTCAGAAAGTGATTCTCGACACGAGCTCAAACGTCCTCACTCAATCCGAGGTGATCAACTTCTACATCAACATACTGCCAAGAAACGATCCTCCCTACATCGTCCTGTCCAACCTGATGCTCTCTGGACTCGAAGACCAATGGGATGCCGGTCAGGCTTTCTATGACTTTGCCCAGAAGTTTCCAGGTCCCATCAACGTCACAACAGTCGGACCGCAGAACGAGGACTGGCCGGAAGCTCTTCAGATTGTCAGTTTCTCACTTTTGACGTTGTCCTACGATATGTTTGGTGAGGTTCCTGCTCTGTTCGCCAACGGTACTCTCAACTTCGCAACTCAGCCCAACGCGTTCGGGAGTTCCAACATTTCCCTGTACGCCTTTGACGACGGAGGAACTCTTAATGGAGGATCGAACACCTCCAAGATGTACCATTTCTCCATCGATGTCCAGCCAGTGAATGATCCTCCCTTCATGGAATTTCTTTGCCAGGCTGAGAATGCAAACTACCCCAAGTTGTCTTGTGAATATTGTGACAACATCACGAGCTATGCGTGTAAACTTCAGGTCCTGCAGAATTGCATTGACTGCCCGGGGCCAGATCTCTGCCTTGAAAAATTCCCACTCCCCTTATACAACTTTTCCTCTGCCGCCCCTGGGGTCCCTGGGGAGGGCAACCAGAGCATTTGGATGTACTATAACTCCTCCTCTACTTCCGGGCTTCAGATCTACAACCTCTCCTTCCTGATCGAAGACGCAGGCAAGGCGGCGAGCGTGTCCTTCTGCCTGGAGCTGGACTCTACCGGCCAAGAGACGGTCGACGTGTTCCTAAAAGACTCCGGAGGGACGGAGAACGGAGGGATTGACACGTTCGGCCCCTTCAAGCTAGAGATCGAGAGTCTGGCAGTGAATCAGCAACCGAGCTTCGACCTCTGCCAAGGAGGGCAGGGAGCGACGTGCTGTGAAGCCGGGGTCTGCTGTGGCTCAGCTTACAGCGTGTGGGAAGGAGACAGGCAGGTCAGCGATGGATCAGTAGTAACGCACGTGCTGAAAGGAAACCAGAACAAGGAGGGGATAGACAACGAAAGGCAGCAGCTCCTGACCTTCAGTATCATCGCCAACGTCACTCAGGAGGACTTTGTCAACGGATCGCTAGTCCTGAACACGTCAAAGTCGATCAGCGACCTCGTTAGCGACATTCAGATACGAAACGTCAGCGACTTCTACGTCTTTGAATTCCTGCTGAAGCCCTGGACTAGCGGCGTTGCTGAGCTGGAAATCTTTGCGGTCGACGACGGGGGTACCGTGAATGGGGGGATCAACGTTTCACAGACACACTACCTCACGCTGAGCGTACTGCGGTATTACATCCAACTCATCATGTATCCTCAGTACACGATGGATTCTTTGATACCGGGAGATCGCATCTGTCAGAAGTTGAAGGAGTGGCTTCAAAGTGAGACAAAGCAAGTTGCGTTCACGAGCGAAGTGCTACAGGTTGGATCAATGGAGGGGCCTGGCAATGGAAGTTTGATCTTTGAGATTCGCAATCCGCTGTTTGCAAACATCAAGAAGGTGTTTGACTACCTGTCAAACTTTGAGCAGAAGTTTGTGATGCCTGGTTTGAACTTCACGAACCTGTCGCTCTCTCTGCATGCGAGGTCGAATTATTCCAGCGATGTCACCTTCACAACACGTAACGACTCGTTGGATCTGAAGCAAGGAGGTCTGATAGAGGAGACACAGTTCATCAATATTGAATTCCCTCCAAGGGATTCCTATGTCAACAGTCAAGGTCAGCAGATCGTTGAGTTCTCAGTCATCGCCGTGACATATCGGGCGTACACTGGTGATGCTTTACAACCTGCTGATGGAGTTGATCCTGGCATTCTTGTTCTCACCTTCAAGCCCGTATGCGATCCCATGTGCCGATCCGCCGACCTGGAGGTCCAGGCGAGCGAATCCCGCAACGGATTTGTAGAGTACAACATCAGCCTGGGGGACTCATGGCACATCCTAAACCTCAACGTGATCCCTAAGAACTTGAGGCCGTTCTTCGAGTTCAACGGTTCTTACTTCTTGTACGAGGACATGATGGAGGTCAACGGGTTCCTGCTGAACGTTTCTGCTGGTCATCAGCAGTACGACGAGAGGTTTCAAAACCTCACCTTCTCCTTGTTGGTCACGACAGGCGAGGAGAAACTTGTAGAGTCACCCACACTAATCTTCGTCCACGACGGTGAAAACTTGGGAAAGGGATACTCGATGCTGAATATCTCGCTGATCCACAACGAGAATGGTCAGTTTACAATCAATGTCTCTACAGGACAATGGAGGCGTAGAGTACGGGGGGCAGAACGTGTCGCAGGTGACGGGGATCGAGATCGAGATCATTCCGGTGAACGACGCCCCCACGTTCGAGGTGCCTAACTCCACAGCCTCGGCTATCGAAGACTTCGGCGTGTACAACCAGTCCTTCGTAGAGAATATCTCGCCTGGAGCCGACAACGAGTGGTACCAGCAGCTGACCTTCGTCTTCGACTGGGCTGAGCCATACACGGGCATGTTCGACATTGCTCCGTACATCGAGATACAGAACAGGACAGGCTACTTGATCTTCAGGACGGGTCACAATGTGAACGGGAACTTCTACTTCAACATCACGCTACAGGACAACGGAGGCGTAGAGTACGGGGGGCAGAACGTGTCGCAGGTGACGGGGATCGAGATCGAGATCATCCCGGTGAACGATGCCCCCACGTTTGAGATCAGTCAGACGGAGATCCCCCTGCTTGAGGACTTTGGGACGAACTCGGTAGCTATCTTCCATAACATCAGCTCTGGGCCGAGTGACGAGCAGTCTCAGTCGTTGAGCTTCGTGATAACCTGCTTGCAGTTCGACTGTCTTGACATCTTCGATCAGATTCCTTATGTAGAGAAGGATGGCAGCGATGGTACCCACCTCCTCTACTCCAAACCCAACCAGAATGGGTTTGTCTCTCTTGAAATTCTTCTGTTTGACGACGGAGGAACAGCCAACGGAGGAACGAATGTCTCCGAACTTCACGTCGTGAACGTCACTATCTCAGCTGTGAATGATGCTCCTACCTTCAATTGCACTGCAACTCTGGCCGTGTTGGAAGCTTCAAGTTCGAGTCAGCTGTACAGCAACACAGACGTCCTCTCTGATATACGACCAGGACCCCTGACGGCCTACGATGAAGTCAACCAGTCCTTGTCGTTCCAGGTGACAACAAACGCATCTGATTTGTTCGAGATCCAGCCCAGCGTAGAGATTGTGAATGGGCAAGGGAACTTGACATTCCAGCTCAAGAGCTTTCTGGATGGAGCAGCGATGTTGACGCTTGTTCTTGTTGATAATGGTGGATGGGACAACGGGGGGATCAACACTTCTGAACCTCACTATCTCATCTTGACGATCGTGCCCGTCAACAACCAACCTTCGTTCTCACAACTTCTTTCATGTCTGGTCGTGCAGTACTCAGCCCGTTGGCAACGAGGGCGAGTTGCAGAAAACATCACAACTGGGCCGTTGGAGGAATTTCAGGACTACAGCTTCCGGGTCGAATTTGCTGACGGCGACTTCAGTCTGTTTCAAGAAACTGAGATAGAGGTAAACAAAGAGGGGAATATCACGGTCCGAGCTCCCAACACATCAGCATCATACGGTCAGTTTGTGATTCACGTCTTTCTCGAGGACAACGGGGGAACAGAAAACGGCGGGGTGAACAGGTCGGAGCCACACAACTTTACGGTGGAGATCGAGCCTTACTGGTACCTTGTCCAACATGATTACCAAGTCCTTGAAAACTCAGACGGCACCTTCACTCTCTCAGCCTTTCAAGATCTTGCGGTCTTGCCCTTGAACAACAAGTACTTCATAGCCCTCTCTGTCTTCGAGGTAAGGATCCCCTACGAGGCCAACGCTACCACCAACGTGACGTTCTTCGACATCGCACAGAGCGATCGGCAGTACTGGTTGCTGACATCTGAGGCTGGTTGTACGGCCAACCTCAACGGAAACATCACATGCCCCCTCGCCCCTCAGCGGAATGGTCTCATCGTGTTCGACTTGACGTTGGAGAGGAACTTCTCCGACAGCTGCGAACGCGTCCAGGGCTCAGTGGTGCCCTATCGCGTCAACTTGAGAATCCTGGAGGTCAACCAGCCGCCGACGTTCTCCCTGCTCAACGAGAGCGTCACAATCAAGGAGGATGCTGACAAAACTCGACTGAAAGTTGCAGGCAACGTTTCTCGGGGAGGTTGGAACGAACAAGCTCAGGACTTGACATGGGTGATCTACCCCGTTGAAGGCGAGCCGGGCTTGTTGGATGTCGAGAGTATGGTAACGGACGGAGAGTTTGGGGTTCTCATCATCAAGCCAGTCCTCCATCGCTTTGGGAGTGCCTTGTACAGCTTGTACCTGCGTGATAGCGGAGGAGGAGACGATTCAAGTCCGATCTCCAACATCACGATTGATGTTTTGCCTGTCAATGATCCTCCCTACTTCGAGCTCGTGACCGACAGGTTTGCTCTTGTGGAAGATACAGGCTGTCTTGGTCCTGCCGGAGATATTTTTCAGCCTCCGCTGGAAAGGTCTTGCACGGACTACAACTCCTTGTCGCATCGATACTCCTCGTTTGCCTACGCCATCTCATGTGGCGTGTTCGAGGATGGAACTGGCTCTGAGAACTGCCCGGAGAGGTACTCGTGCGAAACGCAAACAGCTACTTTTTTTATTGTCCCTGATGACATGAACGCAAGCAAAGCGATCTTCGATTCAGAACCTGCTCTGGATTATGCGGACGGGAGCCTGTCGTTTACCTTGAAACCGCATGTATCAGGGACTATCTCTTTCTCAGTCTACCTTCAAGACAACCATACGGCTGATGGGACGCAGAAGATGTCGAGGGCATTGAAGCTGACCATCGATGTTCTGTTTCAAAACTTGCAGCCTGCCTTTCAACTTGTGCTTCCTGAGATCTCATTCTTGGAAGACTCTAGAAGCGACCTGCTCCTGTTCGCGGAGAACATCAGCTCAGACGGTCATGCGAGCATGTACGAACCGTCTCAAACTGTTTCATTCTTCACCTCTGCTGCTCCGTCCGACGTGCTTCTGGTCAACACATCCATCATCAATGGCTCTGGCTACATCCAAGTCATCCCAGACCCAAATTACTGCGGCATCACATACGTGAACTTATCACTACAGGATGATGGAGGTACGATGTATCGTGGACAAAACTCAACTTCCATCTATCAGATCATGCTAAATGTCACTTGCGTTGATGATCCGCCGTCCTTTGCCATATCTTCACAGTACTCCAATTATCAGCTCTCTGAAAACCATGGCAAAGCAATCCTGTCGCAATTCCTTGTTGACGTCAGCCCGGGGCCAGCCAACGAAGCAAGTCAGACACTGTCCTTGGTCGTCGAAAGAATCTTCCCGCCAAACGCGTTTGCCAAGTTCCCATCTCTCACATTCAACGCGAAGTTTGGAGAGCTTGTGTTGTACTTCACTCCATTCTTCTCGGGCAACATTTCCATCGACTTTCGGCTTAAAGACAACGGAGCGTCGGGTCTGCCGCTAGATGAGCCATTCAGCATTGTACATCATTTCTCATTGCAGATTGTCTCCATCAATGACCCGCCAGACTTCCAGTTCGCAAATGTTGACCAGGGCAACGTATCCGCCGATCGCCTTTGGGTGTCAGATATGACCAATCAAGTCTGCATGAGCGACAAGCAGGTCAAACATGTTCAAGTCTATGAAAACGTCAGGTCACTATGTGTGGACAACTTTGCTACCATGATCTCAACAGCCAAATGCTTCCTGCCAGCATCTTTGTCTAGGTACAACCTGTCCTCAGACGGTTGGTTGAACTATGTTTCCCATGGAGTGGACAAGATCGGCCAAGAGCAGGGACTTTTGTCGTCGCAGGCCAGAGGTGATGTGAAGTATCGTGTCATGACAAGTTTGCTGACCTTTCTTTGCAGCTTTCAGTCCCGACGGAAGATACGTGTATGGTGTGGATATGTATGAGAATTCCATTTCAATCTACAGGCTCAACATCACAGGGAGCAATATCTTTGTCGACAGACTTGTTGATGGTAAGTTGTTGTACATATGGAGAAATTTCTCGTCTTAAGTGTGTTTGTAGGGGAGGAGAGGATCAAGATGGAAAAGGTCAGCACTGATATGCCTCAAGGGTCCAAATTTCTATCGTTCCTCTGTGGATGGGAAAGTTTCAGCAGTGGCAACAGTACTTTCTTGATATCAGCAAACGGCTGCCCGACTCTAGCTGAGCTCGCCTCTTCTGCAAGCCCACAGCAGAACGCAGGCATACCTCTGCCAACAAGTTGTGTTGGGTCATGGGATTTCAACGGTCAAAGTCTGCAACGTTCGCACGTCAGTGATCAAGTGAACAACTTCAGCTCGGGTCAAACTGTGTCCTGCACTGGAGAATCTTGCACCTACATCCGGAGCAGCACCGCTAGTGACTGCCGCCAATCTTCTGACACCACCATCGCTGATGCTGTCTTCACGGACTCCAGCTCAGGACTTGGAGGGTTGGTGCTGACAGGCCCAAGGTAAGAGCGCAGTCAGGTTGAGACGAAGGCTGACGGGATGCGTCAACAGGTGCTCTCTTCACTTGGACGTGGCAGCTCCTCTCCCCTTGAGCTCTCGCACTTTTCTGGTCAACAACGGCAAGTTCGAGAGCATGCAGCTCGACGGCAACCTCAATGTCGGGCTCTACATCACTGACGACATTGAGCTGCTGGATCCCTTCAAGAGAAATCAGCTGCCCAGCAGCAGCCTAGCCGTTGAAGTGCTCTTCACCATGGAGCGAGATTCAACCCCGTTCTCCGGGCTGGTGGGAGTCTACCAGCAGAACCCAGACTGCCTGTCAGGTTGGAGGCTAGCGTACAGTAACATCATGGACGCCAACGGAGGTTCGACGACTTTCTTCTTCGAGATGTCCCTAGAGGGCAGTACAGCCAGACTGGTCCACGCCGTCACTCCTGCTCTTGACCTCTACCGATGGACTCACGTGGTTGGTACTTACGATGGAAGGAACGTGACGCTGTTTGTCAATGGCGAGATGGTGAATCTTGCTTTCTTGATGAAATCATGGTCATGTGTAACTTCACCTCTCAGGTTCATAGCGTCCATGCATGTGGACAGCAGCAATGTGGCGCTATCACGTACCCTTTCATGTCTCAGCGCAAGTGCGCAGCCTCTAGGGTCCCTTTCACAGTTGGAAACCTGGAGGACAGGGAGACTGGCGATGTTTTCCCGCACGTTGGCCTGCTGAAACACGTAAAGATCTTCAAGAGCTCGTTGACACGAGACCAGGTTGTCTCCATGTATCAATGGTACTGCACCTCCGAGCTCTGTCTGCTCTCGTCCGATTGACTTGCTACCAGGGCGAAGGGAGAAATCCCCAAAGTCTTCCCGTTCAAGGAAGAGTACTGGGTCAGCACGAGAAGTCCTCTACCCAACGGATGGAACTCTCCTTCTCTTACGTGGAGTCCCATCGAGACAAACGCGAGCATGAAGGTCATCGGTAACTTCAAGGCCAACGAGGTGAGCTCGTACGACCGTCTCCTCGTGTCCACTGACTCCTCCGACTCCTCAGCGATATCGTTGCCGATTCTCATACGGCAGTCACTCGATGGTTTCTGCTGAGGCCAACCTGTCCTGTTCCTCCCAGTCCTGTACCTCGATCTTTTGTGTGACCCCTCCTTGGGACTTTGGCTTCAGACGTACTTCAGTCTCTGTTGAGAGGTTCGTACAAGAAAGCAACCTGACGGACTGGGGATGGATTCCCTTAATACAGCGAGTTTGCCTGCAGCGAGACTGCGGATTCATTCCTACGACTGAGCGCACGACCAGGTTGTGGTACACGACAGCGGCAGGATACCTCAATCAGAACCTGACCGGAACTTTCACTTCATTCTACTTCCTGACATCTAGCGAAGTCTACCAGAGGGCAGCGAATGATTCGACCTGGACTTTCGTCACGACTCTGCTGCCTTGGTCGTTGAGCAGAGAAAACTGGGAGGCCTCGACACCAGCGCCCTTCCAATCCTGTGGATATTCTTCATTTCTACATTTCGAGGTCGGCGGGAATGATTATTTCCTCGCGGCAAGGAGCTGGGATTCAGTATCATTACAAGTGCATTCTTACCTGTTTGGTTTCAATCGCTCCAACAGTCTTCTTTATGAGATTCAAGCCGTTCCCACGAACGGAGCAAGACAGGTACCCTCTGAGCGATTCATGTGATCATGACTGAGATGTGATTGTTACAGTGGACGATCATCGATCATAACATGACGCAGATGAAGTATGCTATCGTCGTCAACTATGTTGGATCAAGTTATGCGTACCCGATCATTGAGGATGGAGGTTCTATTTCGCTTGCACTGGCGAACAGAACAGAAATAGACAATCAGCACTCATCTGCTATCACCAACTTCTCATATGGCGGACAAGATTACATCGCACTGACTTCGTTCGCTCCCTCTTGTCCATCATGTCCTCTAGCGACGTTGTATCGTATTGTTCAAGGTATGTTCAGCTTCATTGAAGGTCAAGGAGTAAGCTTGTTGGGCAGATTCAGAAGGACTAGTTCTTGACAAAGTTCTCACCCTCAACGACGCATCGCCACTTGCTTCTGGAGTTGCTACGAAGATTATTGGGAACTATCTGCATGTTGTGATATCCATCCTTGATGATACAGTGAGCTCAATAGTAGAATTTTTATAGTTCCTGTTTTCCTGACTGTGTTGCTTCAGCAACCCTCGCTCGTCTACAAGTGCTCTGCTAGCAACGCTCTGACATGTCTGCGAGTTCAGAACATTTCTACAACAATGGCTGAATCGGTGAGCAAGAACGAGAAAGTCAAGATGCGATGAAGTTTGACTTGAAACAGGTTTCCTTCTACGAATGGTCAAGGGAGATTTTCCTAGTGGTCCCTCAGGGCTCCAGCGCCTCCCTCTTCTTGCGATGGAATGATGGATTCTTCCTTGAGGTTGTTCTTGTTGTGTTTAGCAACAGGCTCGACTGACGAGGGTCTTACAGCTTGAAGAATGTCCATCTCGAACTGACTTCGGGGGCGGTCAGGCAATTCTTACTCCCAACGCTGTCTCAGTCAAGCTGCTGCAAGACTACCTGGATGCCTCAGTCTCTTTGATCTTTGCAACCCGAGACGCAGTGAGCGGGATATCAGAGCTTACCTGGAAACCGATCTACAGCAAAGTTCAGTACCTTGAGGGACCTGTCTCGATCGTTGCAAGCAACATCAGCGTGTATGTAGCTGCAAGAGAGTCTCAGGTTGTATATGTCTGGGTTGTTCTTGTCTGTTCTGATATGCGAATCAAGAAAATTCTGCTGTTTTCGAGGAATCCGGAGAGTGGACAACTTCATCAGAACAACGACACCGTCTTGTACGATTCAGCTCTGGGATTGCAGGTAGAGCCATGGCAGGATGCAGGAGTAGATACTGACTTGTTGTTCTTGCAGAGCATCGCCATTTCCTCTGACTATCAGAATCTGTATGCAGTGTCTGACTTGCTGAATACTGTTATGATCTTCCAAGTGGATAGTACAACAGGAATGCTTTCCTTCATGGGAAAGATCACCGATGGGGATCAAACAGACAACAATCGTGTTGTCGACGGGCTGATTGGAGCGCACAGTGTGTTTGTAAGTGGGTATGGCACCCGCGTCGTCGTCGCCTCCTTCTACGATGGCGCTTTGTCCTCGTTCAGCCGAGATGCTGACGGGCAGTTGAGATACATCGACGTCATCAAGGACGGGGAAAGAAACTTCAACGACTTCAAGGTGAGATGTCTTCTATGATACATTTGTCTTGTCTGTTACATCTTGTCTTGTCTGTCACATCTGATGCTGATCACGCATATCCAGGATTCCTTCAATGATTGCCTTGACCCCAAGGCGTGCCCGAAGATCTTGTGGACTTCTCGCTCCCTGGGTTTCCACCAGTTCTCTGCCGGGAGCAAGAACTTCTTGCTGATCGCCAACCAGACCGTCGTGGGCTCCAACAACTCCGTAGACATCGTGATCATGCGCAGGCAGAATGACGAGTTTACAGCTGCGCAAGTGATTCAGAACTCTGAGCCAGCGATGTTTGTCAAGTTCGGAGACATGTCGCCGACGAGCTATCCAGACACTGTGATGTATTGCTTCTACGTTGCATATGCACATAAGACCTGTGTTTATCGCCTGATGGGTGACAAGTTTGAAGAGATTCAGTGTGTTCCGTATCTGACGTGCGATGGGAAAGAAAATCCGAGTCTGAGTGCGCTGAACTACTTTACGAATGAGAGATTTAACAAGATCAATCACTATCTCTTGTTCTCCTACATTCATGCCTCAGATCTCAACTGCTCCGGATCCGCCCTGTATTCCTGGAGTTCTACGGAGCTAAAATTTCAACAAGTCAACAGGGTCGCCAACGTGAATGCTTCCTTGGCAAGATTGGACAGGTTGAACCATCTCATCGTGTCGATAGAGGAAGAGACGCAGTATGACATTCAGTTCTGGATGATCGACTATAACGTGTCGAGCTGCGACATTGTGAACGGGATCGTCAAGAACGAGCTTCAATGTTCAAACATCACCTTCGCAAGGTACAACAGCTTCTCCCTGCCAAAGGCCGAGAACATTGACATCGAGGTGGTCAAAGCGTCTTACAAGAACACAATGACGGACCTCCTTGTTGTGGGTTTGGGAAATTCTCCTGGGCAGGCCAAATGCGTCTCGTTACCAGTTTACATTCTAGACTCCGACAGCAGGACCTACGTGTTCCTTCAGAACCTTGGAAGTGAATTCAAGAGTGTTCCCACGATCAGAGCTGATGTTTACAGCCGCAAACTGTTCTGCCTGCCGACTTGTCTGAATTCCGACACCGATTTCTCAACTCCTTGCTTGCGCGGGGTGAAGAAGTTGTACAGCTTCGTGTCCGATGGCACGACTTACCTGGCGATCGGGCAAGTCGCGAGTGTCAACGCGCAGCCGAAGTCAACGATCTTGCAGTACAACGTGCAGCTGAAGAAGTTTACTGAAATGAGCTCAATCACTGAGTACGAGAACTTGCGGCTGAGGAACAGGGACCTGACGGAGTATCAAGTCTCCCACCATGGCTACAACCTGAGGATCGATGCAGGAGGGATCACTGAATGGCAGTACTACGAGTCAAACTCTGGCCCGAAGCTCATGGCCATGAGCCTGGAGTATGGGGTGGTGGTCTACTCCTTCTACTTCAACAAGGTTGACTCGCTCATCGGTGCTGTTTCTGTCGTCTCGGACGACGAGGGAAAGAGTATCATGGTAGCCAACGGCATCAACAATGCCATCGCGTCCTTCGCTGAAGTTGCTACCAGCACCGCCTTTTCTGGTTGGCGCTGCAACGCACAGACTTGTTTGCAGCCGCGGAATTCAACAACCGGAGCTTACATGGGAGTGAATGGGATGTACATCCAACAAACTTCTTCCAGCATGACGACTGTGGCTGTGTTTGGAAGTACCTTCCCCGATGAGAGGTTGTGCTGCAAGAACGGGGCCTCGCACTTCCCTTGTCAGAGTGTGGAGTTTCACGTACAGAGTCAAGACTGGCAACTTGTTCTGGAAGAGATGCCGACGATATCCCCGAATGGAACTCTCTGCTTCACGTCCAGGGGTATCAGAGGAGAGTCGTCGTTCTCTGCTAGCATCTCCGACCACGCTTTCAACTTCAACGTCCCTCAGGTCGACTTGACAAGTCCTCTCCACAACTTCACGATCAGAGTCCTGCCCACCAATCACATCCCGACGTTCCAGGCGACTGACGTTACCGGCATCTCAGGAGCGAGGCAGCTGCTTGTGTTTGCGCACAATGTCTCAGCTGGAGAGAACGATGTCAACCAGTCGCTCACCTGGTCGTTCAATTTCGACTCTCCTGAGCTCTTCGTCGACCCTCCATCTCTCGGTTTCTCAGCTGACGGGGGTCAGCTGGTGGGAACTCTGTCCTTCTCTACCGCCCGGTTCGCCTTCGGCTCTGCTCGTTTCCGCGTCATCCTCTCCGACAACGGGCCGGGAGATCCCGCGACAGGAAACTACAACAGGTCGCTCGAGCAAACGTTCACCCTCCTCCTGTTCAGCCCCAACGCTCCTCCCTCGTTCACTCTCCTCCCGCAGATAGCCATCCTGGAAGGCACCGAGTCTCATTGCTACCTTAACTTTGCTACCAAGATATCGCCAGGCCCCTGGTTCGAGGCCAACCAGAGCATGACCTTCTCGCTCAGGGACACTGCTGCTGTTGCCAGCGCCTGGAACGGGAGCCAAGTGTTCTCTTCCTTCCACCTGTCGCTCAACGGAACACTCTGCTTCTCTGTTGGTCAGTATGTCAACGGAGACTTTGACGTCACAGTCACGCTGCAAGACGACGGAGGGACTGCAAGGAATGGTTCTGACCTCACAACCTCCACCTTTTCCCTCCACGTTCAGCCTGTCAACACAGCGCCCTCGTTCCGCACTCTCTTCAATCACCTTATCATCCCGAGCCTTGACAGCGGAACGTACAGCAAGCAGGTCCTGCAGCTCGTTGAGCAGCCGCTGGACGAGAGGAATCAGAAGCTGAGTTTCATCAGCTCGCTCCTGGGCGACTGCAACTCCTCCTTGTTTGTCCAGCGCCCGCACGTGAACCTGTCGGGGTATCTCAACTTCGACTGGCAAGGGTTCTGGCAGGGGACTTGTGACGTCAGCGTCGTCCTCGTCGACGACGGCGGGACACTCAGGGGAGGAAGGGACTCGAGCGACAAGCTCCTTCTGACTCTAAATTTCCTCATCGTCAACCAGCCGCCCTCGTTCTCCATCCCTCAGCCCGACCTCAAAGTCATCCAGGGTTCTGAATACAGCCTGCCCAAGTTTGCGACGGACATCAGTCCTGGAACGAGAATGGAGGCGTTTCAGAGTGTCACGTTCCTAGTCAGCGTCATTCCCGATGGCTCCTACCTCTTCACCAACATGCCTTCGTTGCGTCAAGACGGCACTCTTACCCTGTCCACCTCTCCTGAGGAGTTCGGAGTTGTCGTGCTGCAGATCTTGGCGCTGGACAACGGCGGGACGGCGTTTGGAGGAGAGGATACCAGTGCGTTGCACGAAGTTCGAGTGGAGGTCTTGCCAAGGCCGAAGATCCTCAGCGTCGCCCCTTCGTTAGCAAACATGCAGGGCAACACGTCCGTGCAGATCAACGCCTTGTTTGTGGAGCCGAGGCTGACCAACTCCTCCTTCGAGCTCCAGGTCCTGCTGGGCTCCTCCTATTGCCTCGACGTCTCGCTGGTGGGGGGGATCATCGAGTGTCGCACGCCTCCCCTGTCAGGGTCGGTGAACGTGCAGGTGGTAGTGAAGGAGGGGGAGGTGTCGAGATCGAGCAACGTTGAGGTAAATTGTTGTCTCCTGCCTTGTAAGCGCTTAGACGCGATGCAGCAACCATTCTTGTTCGGCCGATCGGTCGTTGCTGGTTTGAAATCGTCCGGTTCTGGTTTCATCGCACTGGAGGTTGCGGATTCGAAGAATGGTAATGTACTTCCTCCTCCCTCCCCCCCCCCCCCCCCCCACTCCTCTTCCTTCCTACTCTTCCTCCTCCTCCTCCTACTACTACTCCTTCTCCTCCTACTCCTACTCCTCCACCTCCTCCACCTCCTGATCCTCCTACTCCTACTCGTCCTCCTCTTCCTCTTGCTCCTCTTCCTCTTGCTCCTCCTCCTCCTCCTTGCTATCTACGATTCGCCTCATTCACGTTTTCCTCTCTTCTCCTCCTCTCTTTCCAATCTTCTCTCTCCTTGCTCCCTGTTCACTGGCTCTTTCTGTACTGAAACTTTCGCTTCAGCTTCCAACTCTTCCTTTTATCCTCTGGTTAGCGCATCTTTCTCAACCGTCACATCCACCGTGATGTACAAAGATCTGCTCTACTTCTCTTCCGTCTTCGAGAGTCAGACCGGCGAAACTTCTCCTAACGTAACACACTCGAGCGTGCTGGTCGTGCCTTGCTCACGACTACTCCAGGTCATGCAAGTTGACGGTCAAAGTCAGAAGTTGCTTGCTTACAGTCTGGATGGAGCGGTTAACACGATGGTCGTCTACAACGACCTTCTCATCCTGGGAGGATCTTTCACAAGAATCTTTCCTGTCTGTTCCATCTCTCCCCCCTTCCTCTCCATGACCTTTCCTCGCAGGTCAGGAGCACGTCCATGGCATGCGCAGGAGTGATCGCATGGAACGGTAGCTGGTGGGTCAACTTTGGTCCGCAAGACCTTGTAGGAGCTGTCTTCAGCTTGGCCGTCGCGGGTCAGAACTTGTACATTGCCGGCAAGTTCAAGTCACGGGACCCCAACGGATGTCGGGTGAGGAGGAGGGAGAGAGCGGGAGAAAATGTTGCTAATGTCGTATGCTGCAGTACGTGTGCTACTACGATGGGAGCCAGTGGCAGAGAGTGGGGAGCAGGATCGAAGGAGGGACAGTGTACAAGCTTCTGCTAGAGCAAGGGCACTTCTTCATCGGAGGAGCCTTCAGGCTCGCAGGAGAGACGGGGGAGCGCAACTTGTGCAGGCTTCAGGACGGAGCATGGCAGAGCCTCGGGGACTTCGACGCTAGCGTGAAGGCCCTGTCGCTGCTAGGAGACTACCTGTATGTAGGAGGAGACTTCGTTAGCGTCGACGGGCTCTCCTACCCGCACATCGCTCGCTTCCATGTGTTCACGGGAGTGTGGGCGACGATAGGAGGAGGAGTGGACGGGAGCGTGACGAGCATAACGAGGGTGGGAACGTGCCTCTACATCGGAGGATCGTTCCTACATCCCTTCCCCTACTCCTCCAAGATCTGCCTGGGTGCAAAGGCTGAGTTTGAGAGCTTGAGTGGGCAGCACGTGCAAGGGAGCGTACAAAGCATCATCAGCTTGCAGAAGGATCTGCTGGCCAACGAGAATTCGGTTTTAGATTCCATCGCGCTTGCTATCAATCAGCGCGTCGCTACCAACTGAAGACCTTTCATAAACACATGAGTTGGTACTCGAAACGTTTTCTTGGCAGAGGTTGAGAGTTGAACAAGCTTTCTACCTGTCTCATCGTTTGTCATGCATTCCTATTCAAACTGTCAGAAATCTCCTCCTTTCTCGGCCATCTCCTCGCCTTCCAGTACTGTCTTCATTCTGATTGGTGTATAATATTCAACTATGTGCGTGCAGATGATATCTATCCATACATGTGTATGTATCTACATGCATTCTTCTCATCTGCTGTTTCTGTACATGTGACTTGTCCATGTTACAGTAACTGATATCCATCAACGTGCATGTAGCCTTCAGGAATTTTGACAAGAGTGTAAAAAACAATAATCACAACAGAGAAAGTAGCTATCCCAGCTCAAACAGGTCCCAGAATTCATCTTCCTCATCCCCCTCCCTCAGTCTCTCCTCGCACTTCACACTTCGTCCAAGATGCTGCAGAAACTCTTACAAGCACGCGAAAGAGAAAAGCTCTCACCTTCTCAAAACGCGACACCGCCACCTCTGCGAACCTATCCTCGTCGTCCAGCCCCTGCTCACAGCCGTCACAAGCTCGAGGGAGTAAAATGGATCTCACGTCAGCAAACTCGTTTCCAATCCACAAGATCGATGCTGCCTCCCCTCCCCGCACAAGAAAGAACGCCTGAAATACTATCAGGTAACCTGCCTCCTCCTCCTCCTCCTCCTCCTCCTCCTCCTCCTCCTCCTCACCTTGCTTGTCCAGAGATCGTCTGAGTCAAAGTTCTCAAGCTCCTGCCATGACCAGGTCACTTCCATTTGCTCTTCGCACTTGGGCCCCTCACCTCAAACTCAACATCGCCCTCTCCGTCATCCCATCCGACAATCTCAAACATCCTGACTCGAGGACCAGATTCTTCCCCCTCCTCCCCAGCTTCCTCTGCTGGAATCGAGGCCGCCGCTGGTTTCTCCTCTTGTTTGACCTCCTCCTTGTCCATTCTCCTCCACCCTGCGGAGAGCGGCGGGACGAAAGACTGAACAGGCTGCAAGGTACAAGGTGAACGAGCACCTCACGAACAGGCAACAAGACCTGCGGTGAGGTTTGCGATAGGAGGAGCGAAGGACCTGGACCGCTCGGCCCACTCACACCCTCCTCCCTCCTCCCTGAGTCTCGCTTGCCCACTCCCCGGGGTTCAGCAGGGAGGGAGGGGACGACAGGTCGTTCTGCCTGGATGCTTGAGAGGCTGTTGACAAGTCGATGAGCAGAGACGAAGGGAAATCATCGAGCGACTTTACCTCAAGTTCATCCCGGCATCTTTCAACTCCAACTCCTTCGATCCTGCACAAGGCATGAGAAGCTAGGAGGTCGCGAGCCAGTCGAGACCTTTGGGTAGTCTACACTGCAGCTTAGCTACCAGGTCCAGAACTTGTTGACTCTCCTACCACGAGGGGTCAGCCACTACGACCAATGGAATGAGAAAGAGATCATTCGATTGCTCTACCTGGCCATGATTCACAATCACAACTTTCTCGCAGGCGTTCTCAAATTTCTGAAGATCTCCGATACACTGCATTGCAAACTCCTTGTGCTCCTGTCGAATGAAGTTCAGCATCGCCCGTGACGGTTCAACCTGCCGAGCAACCAGTGTGCTCCTATCGCCGATCCACACGTACATCTCCTCTGCAGTCTCGAGGATGTAGACCTTGAGCATGCATGTCACCATGTAGGAAAGAGGTAGACGCGTCAGCTTCACCTGATCCGGCTGCAGCACATACAGGTGATTCTCGTCGAATTCCTCCTGGCTCGACATGTCTTGATTCCTTCCATCCCAGTGACCGAGCAACTTTGACGCAAGGCAGTCCTTTGTGTCTTTTATCTGCGCCCCTCCTTCTGGTACATCTCCCCTTTGAAGGGCAAGGTCAACCTTACTCGTCAAGAAGCTTTCAGGATTCACCTGAAGTAGTAATGCACATGAAACGCCCTCATCCGGTGGGCGTCAACTCCCCCCTTGTTTTCGAGGTATCAATTCTCCACACTCTCATCGTGTCAATATCAAACGCACCTGCTTGTAAGCTTCCAGATTCTTGCTCCACGTCATCAGTTGAGCAGCGAAGCCAGCGTTAGGGTTACAGATGCCTCTTCTCTCCTATTTGGAGGTGACTGAGCACGACCTCACGTTTGTCCTCCTAGAGTTTACCTTCACCCGTAGAAACGCATCCTCGTAGGATAAAGAATAATCGTGGATCAAGAAAGCTATACAGAATGCACAAGATCTTGAGACCCCTTGATGGCAATGTACAAGTATCTTCCCTCCCGTCTGCTTTACAGCTTGAATGAGTCGCACAACCTGAAACCAATCTCAATCATCTCAACACGGCCATCATCTACGAATCATACCCTGTAGACGTGGCAAGTGATGTCTTCAGAGGCTGCATCATTCAAGTAAAGCTGCAGGACGTGTTAGATGAGAAAATTCGTGCCTAGTAGCGACTCACAGTAGTGTATTGAAATGACTCTGGAAAAAAATTCTCCGAAGACAATCCGGCGCAATTCAAAATGTGCGTTATTCCAACTCCCTTTAAAAGCTCAAGATTCTGCGCAACTGCAACCCCACCAACGAACAAGAAATCTTCAACTCGTGTGCACTCATTCTCAAACTTTTTCAATTTTTCTGCCCGGAGTTCTGTTTCTGTCTTTTCTCGAGGGATCTCCAGGGCTTTGGAGATGTTGAGGCTGATAGACGGCTTGCTGACATCCGTTTGCTCTGCCGATTGCTTCAAAAGTTTCAAACTTGGAGGAGCAGCCTCATGCGCTTGCTCATTAGCTTCGCTCCCGTCCGCTGCCAAATGAGTTTCATGGTGTCGGCGCTTAGGGAGAGGTTTTAGGCCTGCGAAAGGAACACAGATCTCTTAGACCATTCGCAATCAGTAGACTCTGCTGCTAAGATTACCTGTAAGATGTAGCTTCTTGCAAACAAAGTTTGAAGCTCTAGTTCCAAAATCTGTTTCTTCTCGGAGATCGAGTTTCTGACGACTTCGCAAATCTGCTGGCGACAGGAGAGGTCTATCGTCTCTTTCAGGAGAGGGATAACTTGGATCCTCCACAGCAATGGGCTGCTCAGACATTCAGCATCGGTAAAAATTGATGAGAACAAGTTCAACCTTCAGCTTCGATGGCTCTCCTGAAAAGAACCGACTGGAAAGACACATGAGAAATTGTGATGTTTTCGTACACTTTCCACCTCAATGATCCTTTCGAATCAGGTCGCTGCTTCGGAGTCGATTTGGCAGACCCGACCAAGTCATACTCTGTGAAATTGCACAAAAGATCATTCAGTCCAACCCAACGAAAGCGTATCGTCCAACCTTCGTTTTCATATGGCACGTTGACTTGCAAACCACAACTGTCCGAGGTGTTCAACGGTTCGTCTTGGATGCTGTTCAAATTGAGGAATGAATGAGAAAACACAACACGAGGCATATCTGTTGTAAGACCTCGCGGACTTTGACCAATTGCAGCCCATTGGAGCCAATGATAATTCTAAATCCAACGCGCAAATCCTGCGATGCCCAAGTCAGGGCATTGTTCGAGACGCCATAGGATCGAGAAGCACCTTTGCTGCTCATGAGAGCGTGTTCCTCTCAGTCTTTTCGCCCTGATGGATGACAATCAGTGTCAAATACAAAGGTGACTTTTTCCAACACCCCATCGTGCGGGTATGGGTCTTCCCTTGTTGCCTGTCAGTCTCGCTGTACTCTCTCCGCTCCCTATCAATCACTGGCACGCATGGCGGCTCGGCTCTCTCTTTCCTCCGATATCCCTCCTTGGAAAGCTCTATCAATCTATCCTTGTGATGTACTCAACAACAATCTTAAGGCAAACGCACCGCGCTCTCGCCCTAAATTCTTCACCGCATCCCTCACGCAGTCCAACTTTGATCTTCCGCACAACATACCGTTCCCCTTCCCGCCATTGTCGGTCGTGCTTGTCGCAATTTATTTTCTGATATTCGCCTCCTTCCTCCTCCCCTGCCTGTATCCCTCCAATTCAATTTACATCCTCCCCCCACTATCCGCGATTCCAACCCACTTTTCATTGCTGTTGAGGTCACAATCTACAGGTACTTCTGCTACTTGTAGCCATTTGCTTCCTTGTAAGCAGCGTCCTCGTATCCTCTTATTCTGATTCTTCTTGCCTCCCTCCCTCCCTCCTTCCCCTCTCCAACTCATTTTCGTTCAACGCCTGATCAGAATGCCATAATGAGGAAGGAGGTCGTGTGTGCAAATAGGTGGGTGGGGTGCATAATTAAGGGGTGGATTGGACCACAAGGGGTACCTTCATCATAGATAATTGGGGTACCTCTACTAAAAAGTACCGGTGTGAGTTATTCATTTTTATTTCAGACAGGGTGGGTGATCAACGTTTGTAGTATTTCGTAAGGGTAGAATCTTTGGAGTACAAATTGAAATTTCGTACATGGGGGATGGGGGTATTGCCAAAACTCGAATCACAGGGTAGGGTTATCAAAGTACCCTCCAAATTGTATAGAAGTAAGGGGGTAAAGTTGTGTTTCGAAGTCTTAAAGTAGGGTAGGGGGTACATTAATATACACCCCAAAGGGTTCAAATTGAAGTCAGGTTGTACGAGATTGGTACTATAAGGGGGGTGGGTGTTCGGAGAAGGGACCCCCTCCGAGGATACCCACCCCCTATTGAGATACAACACGTAGTAAATTGGGGGTAATGAAGGGGTAAGGTGGGAGTTGACTTTGTGAATTGCCCGAACACTGTCTCTACCCTGCCGTTCTCCGCCTTTGCATATAGGATAGGAGGGTGGGTACATTTTGAGCGAAGTTGGCGAAACATAATCCAAAATTTGAATATTATTGATGATTTTTGAAAAATAGGACGAAGGTAAACATGGTGGTTGGTGAAAACACTGAAATTTTGAAAATAGTTTCCTCAAAACATGGAGTTTTGTTTATTTTTCACTTCCAAAGATTTCTCATTTTTAAAAAAAAAAACTTGTTTGTGAGTAATAATTTTACTCAAAACGAAATAAAAATCAGTCAGATAAAAAAACCAGCTCGCCTCAGAGTTCATCTCGAAACACTGAGAAGGCAGCAAGCAACTCCTCACCAACCACGTACAGCAGCGTCTCGGAGGTAACCAGATCAGGAGCAGGAGCAGGAGCAGGAGCGCATGGGTCATGCGAGGAGGACGGCGAGACCCATATCAGCTCGATACTTCCGGAGCGTGCGATCATGCAGACGATGAAACGAAGGGTCCCCATGCACCGCCTCCTGGATGCATCCATCCTACTCCGCTATCAGAGTTGCTGCATGGAGTTACGGCAGGTACCGGAGTTCCATCAAGGTTTCAGCGTGAACAAGTTCATCCATACCTGCAGGGATGGGAAGAAAGGCCTGAGGCAGGCGATGGGTGGCACAGCTCACATTATGATCCGAAGTCTTTTGTTGGGCTGGTTCAGAGAGCGCAGGGAGGCCAACGGGGCTTGTATTGTTGGTGTAGGGAGGAGTTGTCATGACGTCCAGAACCAGCCCAGTCCAGACATGAGTGCGAAGGACAGAAAGCCAGAGATCGCCTATCTTCCGGTTCGTGGAGCTATTCTGAGGAGCTTGAGTCCGAGTCAGAGTTTTGATGATCAAGTCTGTAGTGTTGATCATGAGCAGACGCATCGGAGATGGGCAATGGGGAAGGTGTGAGAGCAGGGGCAGGGGAGCAGGAGCAGGAGGGATAGAGGCAGGGGCAGGGGCAGGGGCAGGGGCAGGGGCAGGGGCAGGGGCAGGGGCAGGGGCAGGGGCTGGGGCTGGGGCTGGGGCT